CTTAAAAGGTCAAGACACTGCTTCACTGTCTTCTGGTTTCCAGAACTGCCACTGCCAAATCTCAGGCAATGTTGATTCTTAATCTTTGTACAAGAACTGCTTTGTCTCGATCTCTGATATTCTAAAATTTCATGAAAAAGGAGCTTTGTACCTTCTTTTTAGGCCTCTAAAAATTTTTGAAATATATTAAGTATGTATGTCATATAAACAACTTTTAAAGAAAAAAAAAATGTAAGAACCCCAAACCTATCACCTGGCTCAGGGGTCAGCAAATTACAGCGAAAAGGCATAGCCTGGCCTGCTGCCTGTTTTTGGCAATAAAGCTTTGTTGGCACACAATCACACACATTAGTTTAACTCTGGTCAACTACAAGGTCGGAGCCCAGCAGTGGCAACAAAGATCATATGACCTGCAAAGGCATATTTATTATTTGGCCCTTTATAGCAAAATGTGTTGGTTCCTCACCTGGCTTAAGACAGAAAGCAAAACTTTTGATGTCCGTTGCATGACCCTTCCCAAACCAGTCTTTTCTCTTCCTGTGAGGAAACCATTACCTAAATTTTGTGTTAACTATTTCTTTTTACCTTTGTAGTTTGTGTGAATCCCAAACAAGATACCACTTAGTTTTTCTAGCTTGAACTTTATATTAATGAAATCATACTGTACAGTATATCCTTGTGCAACCCAGTTCCTCACTCAGCTTCTACATTAGAATCATAATCATATTGACAGTACAGTTCATTTCATTGATCCGATCGATATTCCACTGTGTGACTACACCACAGTCTATCAGTTCTCTTGGTAGTCATGAGAACTATTTCCAGGATTTAAATAAAACCCCAAAAAAGCCCCTGTGAACATTTTTGTACATGTATCCCACCATACATGACCAAGGGGTTTGTGTATACACATAAAATTCCACCTAGGAGTAGAATTGCTGAGTGATGGGCATACGTAAATAGTTTTGTAGCACATACCTTTCAAACAGTAGTAAACGACATTCTCTAATACATTTCCAATATAACACCCGGCTTTGTCAGCCACCAAATTTTTTGCAAACCTAGGGTTTCACTGTTGGTTTTGATTGTTTTTTTAAGAGACAAGGTCTCACTCTGTTGTCCAGGCTGGAGTGAAGTGGTATGGTCATAGCTTACTGCAAAGCCATGATCCTGGGCTCAACTGATCTTCCTGCCTCAGCATCCCAAGTAGCTAGGAGTACAGGCACATTCTACCACGCTGATTTTTAATTTTCTTTGTAGAGACAGGGCTCTCACTATGTTGCCCAGGCTGGTCTTGAACTCCTGGCCTTAAGCAATCCTGCCACCTTGGCCTCCCAAAATGTTGCGATTACAGGTGTAAGTCACTGTGCCCAGCCATAATCACTGTAGTTTTAATGTGCTTTTTGATGATTACTAATGTGATTGACTATCTTTCCATATAGATGTTGGCCATTTGTATTTCTTCTGTGAAATGCTAATTCATGCCTTTTGCCAATTTTTCTATTGACAGGTTTGTCTTTTTTAATTGTCATAGTTCTGTACTTATTTCCTATACTAATTTTCTGTCAGTTTTTCTATACGGCAAATCTCAGCTTGTGACTTTTCAGTCATTTTCACAGAAAAGTATCTTTTAATGAATAAAAGTTCACAATTTTAATATTTTATTTTATACAATGTATATTTTGGACCATCTTTAAATAAGCCTTTCTCTACTCCAAAGATCATCAAGGAGTATTCTATTTTGTCTTCTAAATGTTTTTAAATTTTGCCTTTCACATTTAAGTTATTAATCCATTTGGAATTTATTTTTGTGTGTGTACAATAGAAACTGTCTTCCTTTTTTTTCCCATGTGGACAGCCAATTATTGAAAAGTCCATTGATTCCCCAGAGATTCTGCAATGCCACCTTTTATGATATAAAGAGCCCATATACATGTGATCTGTTTTTGGGCTCTCTATTCTGTTCCATCAGCCCATATGTGTATCCTCATCCCAGTACTAGCATCGTAATTACTACAACTTTATAGAAAGTTTTGATATCTGGTAAAGCAAGCTTCCACAACCCATTCTTTTTTGTCAAGTATGTTGTGGCTCTTTCTCTGGCTTTTCCATATTAATTTTAGAATTAGCTTGTCAGGCACTATGTAAAACCCTATGGGGGGTTTGAACAAAATTGTATACAATCTACACATCATTTTGAAATGAAATAAAATCTTCAAGATATTAAGTCTTCTTATTCATGAACATGGTAGTGCTTTCTGTCCCTCTATTGAGGACCATAAAAGTTTTCCCATTTAATATGTTAATATGTAAGTTATATTAATAGATTTTCTAGTATCATCAATCATTTGCTTCCTATTTGAGGATTTTTACCCCTACATTAATCAGTGACATTGGCCGCTGATTTTTCTTTCTTGTGCTATCTCTGTGTTGAATGTCAAGGTTATACAAGTGTCGCAAGAAAAGCTGGGTTTCATTCCCTCTTGTTCTAGACTCTTAAGGAGTTTGTCTAAGATTGAAATAATCTTTTCCTTGAGATGTTTGATAAAACACACTTGTAAAACCACCTGGGATGAGTGTTTTATCTGGAAAAATATGTAAAGATATTGATTCAATTTCTGTAAGTTAAATAACCTATTTAATTTTTCTATTTCTTCTGGAGTCAACTTTGCTAAATTATTTTTTTCTATTTTGCCTTAGTTTTCAAATGCTGGCATAAAGTTGCTAACAGTATTTTCTTATTATTTTAAAAATTTCTGCTGCATCTGTTCTTTGTGTTTGTAGATTTATTCCTTTATTTCATTTTAGTTTTGGGAGAAAGCAGAAATAACTTTGTGTGTTTAATCCACTACATTGATGAGAGCAAAATCACACAGAAGGTTCATTCTTCCTTATGTATAAGATGGAAGTAATCACAGAACCCACTAAGGCTGTTGTATTAAGGATTAAATGAGTTAATACATGAAAAGTATTTAGGACAGTGCATGGCACACAGTCAGGGATCAAAAACATCATGATTAAATGATAGGGAATTCAGTTCCACTGAGATGATGTCACGTTTTTGTTGACTGAAATTTAACAATCTAAAGCAACAGTAACTGGTTATGGACTAGACTCTTTTAAAGAGGTGATGATTCATGTGGTTGACAATATTCTCATTCTGAAACAGTCTAGGTGTTTGTGCCCTGAAATTATGAACTGCATGTATGGTGTAAAATAAAATGTAAAACAAAGCAAGAGGTCGACTATAGGCTATTCTTAACACATAGTGGGCAATAAAAAACAAACAAACAAAAAACTGAGTTCTTGATAAGTAATCAATAACCAAAGAAATAATAAAATGATGAAAGTATAATAAAAACCATAAGGAAAACTCTAGTAGTCTCAGAGAGTTTTCATTATTAGGTGCCTTTTATTCACAGGTAAACACGTAACTGACTTTATCCACAGGCCCTTCATTAGGGAACTCTCTGCTTATGAAAATATTTTTCTACTCTCTCTAACAGAGGGATGCCTATTAGGCATTCTACCTCCAGTCAATTTCTGTATATAAGTTTTGTCTACAAACAAAAACAACAATAAACCCAGCAAACAGATATTGAATTATTTAGGCGAAAGTAAAGTGACGCCTGTGATTTACTTTGAAATGCATAAAAAATAAGATGGATCACCTGCAATCCCAGCACTTTGGGAGGCTGAGGTGGGTGGATCACTTGAGGTCAAGAGTTCAAGACCAGCCTGGTCAACATGGCAAAACCCCATCTCTACTAAAAACACAAACATTACCTGGGTGTGGTGGTGCGTGCCTGTGATCCCAACTACTTGGGTGACTGAGGCAACAGAATTACTTGAACCTGGGAGGTGGAGGTTGCAGTGAGCCGAGACAGCGCCACTGAACTCCAGGCTGGGTGATAGAGTGAGACTCTGTCTCAAAAAAAGAAAAAAAAAGATGGACTAATGGATGCTATGGATGATGAATAGTTGAATAAATACATGATAAAGCAACTGGCACAATGTCACTAGTAGAATTTAGATGGAAGTATATCAGCATTCACTGTAAAATTATTTCAACTTTCTATAATAGCTTAAGAATTTTCATAAAAACTATTGGGGAAAATGTGAACTCATATACTTAGCAAGTGAAAAACTAAAATAAAAGGAATATAAAAATATTTATATTATACACACAGCGAAAGTTATATAGAAAGTTCATTATAATTTATAAAAAAAATCAAGACACCTATAAAATAAATGTGAAAGGATATTAACAAAATACAAATAAAAAAATAAACCCATGGAAAATATTCAGTTACCTCTAACCAAAGATGTAATTTTAAAATTAAAGCAAGCCTGAAATACCATAACATATCTACTTTCTTAGCAGAATTAAAACACCTGAGCACACGCACGCACACTCTCTCTCTTTCCTGGCAAAGCTGCCGTGAAAATGGTGCACTCATCTACAGCTGGCAGCCTTCACTGTAAACAAGCACCGCCCGTTTGGGAAGCAATTTGGCAGTCCCTAAATAATAGTGCTTATCAAGTCCTGTGACCTGGTGTCCCACTCCTTGGAATATAACTGCAACAGTCAAAAGAAGCCAAAAGATGTTCACTGCAGTATTATCTACTAAAAGGATTAAATCATAATGAACAACCTAAATGGCCATCAAGAGAAGAATGATATAGTAAATAATGACACATCTGTATCATAAATATGGTGTAGACATTAAAAAATGACAATAATCGAAGCTCATGTAGAAATCTGCAACATGTTCATAACACTCAATCAAATGGAAAGCTATTTATAATTGTGAGACTACAGGAATAAATGAAATGTGCATTGGCACTGTAAAAAAAATGAACAATTAATGAAAATGACATGCTGCCATATAAAGGGACTGTAGCTGACTCCTTTTCCTAAAATCTTCTTTCATCTTGCCGATGTATCTTTCAATTAAAATTAGATCATTACAAAGTCAGTCTTAAGACTGTCTACTCACAGTGCTGAGTTTGCTGCAAATGATGAGTATCCGGCGTTCGTACAGCATACTGGCGTACAGATGCAACATGTTGTTGACATCCACAGCCACAAAATATTCTGTCAGATTTCTCTAGGAGAAAGAAGAAGGCACGGTTTGTGGCTGATTTTGTTTCTTCTTATTATAACAGTATCTAATAAGAGCATAAGAAACAGAAAATAATCAGAAAGTATACTCTCTTCTTTCCCTGTCCTTTTCTTTCTACCCCGGAGGCCAAATCCCCCTCATGTGTAAAATCATGAACAGTAAAGTTGGAAGACACCTTAGAGAGGAAGGAGCCTGAGCAATTACATCTTTGTGTGGTGATTACAACATGAGGTTGCATATAGCACTTAGGTCAGTTCCTAAAGGTGAGCAGAACAGGAATTCTACATGTATCTTACAAATGAGGATACCAAGACTCAGAGAGATTCTCCAAGATGGAACAGTCTAATAAGCAATGAAGACAGGACTGCTGCTCAAATCTTTGGGCCCCAGATCCTAGAACCTTCCCGATGTGCTGTGCCATACGCCTAAGCAAAACAAAGTACCCAGGGACCAAAATGCTTCTGGCACTGAGCCCGTTTCTGTCCAGGAGATGCCACCCACGAAGGCCAGGCGAGCTCCTCTCCTGTCATCACTGCTGGTATCCCCTCCTTCACAGTTTACATTCGCTAAAACGGCTCAGCTGGAATTAAGGCAATTTTGAACATTTACAATTTCCAGGTATTTCATTCAAAAGGGGGAAGAAAAAACTGAAGACAAACAGCAGCAAGTTGTGACAAAGCAGTGTTTTAACTAGCTTTTTTCCCCCCTGTAGCCTGGGCTTCATTCTTTTAATTAGTACTATAGATTGGTACTCTTCAGATTTCAGAAAAAAAATGGAATGTGTTTCATTTATACAATGCATTCTATACCCACCTGACTTTAACAATACACATGAATATGCTAATTTCTTCAATGTTACAGGTTTTCAATGCCACACAATATAATCCTCTGAAAATGAAAGGGGTTGGGGAGGGAAGGAATGCTATTGCCAGGGGTTGCAGTTTATAATGATTAAAGATCTATAACCCATAAATTGAAGTAAACCAGGTGGATTTTACATGCAAAATAGCATAAAGTGCTTTTCAACAATGTTATGGGCTGGGAGTAAAACTGGGCACTTATCTTATAATTTATTATTGTTTGACTGAAGTACCAGGTTAACCATCAACCTTTATAAATACAGAGCAACTGAATTAATAGCTCTATATACTAACTACCTCTCAAGTGCCAGCCACTGTACCAGACACTGTGGATGTGTAATTGTGCAATCTTCACAAAAATCCAGTGAGGCGTTATTCTTTCCAATATAAAGAAGTCTGGGAGAGGTCAGTAACTGGCAGATCTGACTCCACGGCCTATACGCTTTCCCTTCCACCACATTGTCCCTCTTACGCACATCCACCATGGGAAAGGTTCACATCTATTATTAAACATTTCACTTAATCTTCAAACTGCTCCTTGAACTAAGTATTATTATCCCTCTATAAAGATGAGAAAACAGTGGCACAGAGAAGTTGTGTAATTTGACAAAGGTCATGAGGTAAGTGGATGTGACATGATTCAGTCCTGAGTGGGTCTGTCTCTAAATTCAGGCTCTTTGTATTCCACACAAAATTGTAGGTAAAACTCATATTTGGAAAAAGAAACAAAACAAGATCAAGTATGCCTAAAGAAAGGGAAATGCTTCTGTTAAAAGTTACTGTTACCCCATTCACGGAGTGATCTGTGTGTGGCAGGCAACAGGTGTTCTTTCCAATCTTCCCAACAAGCCTGAGACAGGCATTATCATCTCCATTTTACAGATGAGGAAAAAAAAAAAAAACTGAGCCTCAGGAAGTCTCAGTAGACTTCTAAAGGTCACCCAGCTAGAAAGGGCACAGCCATGTTTCAAAACTACATCTCCTCAATCCGAAACTCATACCCTAACCATCACACCAACTTGCCTCTTAACAAACTCAGTGAAAAACAAAACAGCAAACACCAAAGGCAGTCAGAAGGAGTCAACCAGTGTATCTTGGTTCCTCCACTGGACGGAGGAACACAGAGCTAATGATGTAAGGGTGGGGTTTGCTCTGAAGATGGTGACATGGCACAGCTCTCCTCACAAACAAAAATACGAGGCCCTTCACTGAGCATTTCGGTAAAAAGCTTAACTGCTGATGAATTACATGAATTTTTCTTTTAGGAGAGGATGGAAGTAAAAAGAAAATAGAAATGAGGAGCTTAAAGAAGGCCAGAAAGCCCATTAGCACTTTTGACAGATCCAAAGATAACTCTGAAGCCACCAAAACGTGGCCTCAAGAGTCTGCCAAGAAGCTTCACGCTGGGGAGAAATATGTTACACAGCTTGCCGTCCAAATAGGGAGACACAGCGTCAGAGACAAATCCTGCGCCTTATTTTGGTGGGAGAAAAAAAAAAAACCACAAGGATACTTTTGTGGATGGAGAAGGGAACATTTCTGAAATAAAAACACCATTTGATTGAGGCATGTTCCCCATCTCCAATCAGATTCTGAGCGACTCAGGTGCTTGTTCCAAAATCTCTACACAGGTATGTTAAAAATATGTAACATTTAGCCAAATTCTCTCTAAACTGTCATGTACTTTTTTTGGTATTTCTCATCCCATCTGTGCTGATTACCAAGATATTTGTGTCTAAACAGAAGCTGTCTTTCTTATCTGCTTCCTCCCCTGCCTCTTTCCTTCTGGGATGCCACCCGCCTGAGCGGGTGGGAGTGGGTGGGAGTGCCAACAGCCCTGGGAACCTCGCTCAGCCGTGGGAGCACCTGTGGGGCAGAGCGGGGCCCCGGGAGCAGCTGCAGGGAGCACTCGCAGCTCCCACCAAGTCTCAGTTCAGAAGCAGGCCCCATAGAGTCAGGAATCTCCCTCCCCCAGCCACACCAATCCTTACTCTCTCAGGCCTGCCATGCCTTTTCATACCCACAGGCCTTTACTTCTGCCATGTCCTCTGCCTCGAATGCCCCGCTCTTCCTTGAGGACACCTGCTTACTTTTCAAGGCCCAGCTCCAATGTCACCTCCTCCCGGGAGACTTCCTCAACTCATTTGTCAAGCTCCCCTGTATGCTTCCATTGTTCCCATCTTCCAGTAACTCAGTATTTTTTTTAAGTATGTTTTTGCCATGAGACTGAGGTCCTGTTGGGCGAAGCTGCTTCTCCCATCATCCAACAGTTTGATGAGAGCAAGCTCGGTGCAGGGAGGAAGCAATGGCTGAGGGCGCTGGTCCCTCACTCGGGCGAGAGCAGTGCAGCGAGGAACGCACCAGCAAAGAAGATGGACCACGTGGGACATTAGGAAGAATGTAGCATGTGACTCTGGAAAACCTGGCTCTGAGTCGGATGAAGCGATTGATTACTCAGTAATGGTGAAGAACCTATAGAAAAAGAACTGCCACTGGAAACTGCACAAAGGCTGGTAAGTAGCTGGGGATGGTGGAAGGAGGGAGGGGTGACTTTTCATGGTATCTGTGGCTACATTTATTAAAAATGTAAATAAATTAGTGGTTTATCAGGTAACTGGGGTGAGGGCTGTACACAGAAGCAGGTGTTCATTTCACAGCCAGGCCAACCATATTTCTCCGATGGATAAGATCAGAGGATAGGAGAAGGGAGGGCTTCCGCAGCAGGCTGTCCTCAGTCAAGACTACAGCCAGAACACATTACGAGCTTCTGCTGATAAAAGATACGAGATAAACCACTCTCCCAGCCCTTTGCTTCTTCCGTGGACTAAGTCCCCATCCTCTCATTTCTATCTCCTATAATCAGGCAATCAACACACACTTATTTAACTCCTATGTGCCTAGCACCCTCCCAGGAGCTAGGCCTGCAGAGATAAACTAACTGTGATCTCCATTTTCCTGCTTACTCTGGGGTGAGAGGGACATTAGACTCAGAAATCCAGTATGCAACGTACCATGGTTGAGACTACACTCCAGGCATGGCTGAGAAGCCTCGCCCCCTTGATGGATATGCAGGAGAAGGCTGGAGAAGGTGTGACAGAGAAGACATTTGGTCTGGGCCTCCTAACAGGGGTTTACTCAGTGGACGAGGGAAGAAGCATATTCCAGGCAGCGGCAAAGACAGGGTGGGGACAGGAGCTACAGGCAGGGAGGAGAGTGAGGGGCAGGTGGGGCGGGAGAGCAGGGGGTAGGGGAGCTAGGGACAGGGCAGTGCTGAAGGATCCTGACATGATCCTATTTGTGTTTCAGAAAAATCCTCCTAGAGGCTCTGTGGGAGACAGATAAGAGGGCAAACAGGAGACAGAACAGTCAACTAACAGGCTGCTGCCATATTCTGGGAAAGAAATGATTAAAATATATGTTAAAATACCAATTCAGGTCAAAGCTTTGGGTGTGGATGTCACAGATAATCTACAAAGTGGAATCAAAGGACTTGGCGATGAATTAGGCTTATGGAGGGAAGGAGAAAAAAGTCTCAAATGACCCCTGGGCTTCCAGATTACTATGCACCATACTTGTCCACTTGCCCAAATAGGTTTTTAAAGAAAGAGTCCATTCTTTTAATAAAGGATAAATACTTCTTATAAGTACCATAATTCCTGTCAAACATGGTGTCCCTGGCCACCTCGTCCTAGGCCTAGTGTCCTGGGCTGTAATGCCACCATGGCTGAGCCTAAGTAACTACTTTCTTCATTCTCTGCCAATTACTTCTCTGTGTGACTCACCTACTTGGAAAGGAAAACCTTGCTTTGAGGACTAGTTCCCAGCTTCTGTGCTCAAAAGGTCTCGGTTTTCTTAGTGCCAGTAAGTTTTTAGGCTTGAGGATATTCCCTTCCTACTCATGGAGTTTAAACATTATTTCAGTTACACATACATTTATGTCTCCATGAGCATGTGCCTCTCTACCTAGCATCTCTTCTGGCCACACTCTCTAGGGCTGGGTAGCACAGCTACAAAGCTATCCACCACCCAGGCTGGAAAGGGCTCAAATCTGAGGAAGGTCTCTGGACAGAGCAGCCTGCAAGGTGCACTTCAGAAGAAGCCTGAAACGCACAAGCTCCTTAGACT